TGCAGTCGCTCAATGCAGCAGTCGTCCTATGTGGCACACACATGGCATGTAATTATTTGATACATTAATGTGGTAGTTTTTTAACACATTTAATGTGAGCGACTGCAAGTAGCATTATTCTTTTCTCAAAGACCACTGATTTCGGTACTTTCTCTTTCTTCGACTCTGTTTCGCTTTTAACTTCTTTTTATAATGCAAATGCCTATACTATTTTTTTGAGTACCTGAGTTTGAGCTGCTATGTTTTTTTAATGTAGGTGGAGCCCAGGTCTAGGAAACACTTGCTAGAATTGAAGGTCAAGTTTTAATTTAATTTAATTTTGTGTTTTCGAAAATATTTGCATCTAATTTAAAGCAGGTAGTGTGGAAAATGCCACCACTGGATGGAGATCATAATTTAAACTTCTTAATATTCTTACTTATCTCTGTTATCATAGAAACAGAGCTAAACTGAGTACTACTTTTATGATATTTGTGGGTGATTTCACATGCACATCAGAAGTTCAGAGGGCAATGCCATATTTAAAGACAGCATACGGTGACAGTATTCGCAAAGTTTTGCATGTCGGACCCGATACTTGTTCAGTGGTCTCAAAATTGTTAAAAGAAGAAGAAACAGAAGCATGGGGTGTTGAACCATATGATATAGAGGATGCCGATAGGAGTTGCAAAAGTCTAGTGCATAAGGGCATAGTGCGCATTTCTGATATCAAGTTCCCTCTACCTTATAGAGCTAAATCATTTGCATTTCTGATATCAAGTTCCCTCTACCTTATAGAGCTAAATCATTCTCCCTTGTCGTCATATCGGATGCTGTAGATTATCTGTCTCCTAAGTACCTGAACACGACTATTCCCGACTTAGCAAGAGTGTCGAGTACCGGTCTTGTCATTTTTACTGGTCATTTCCTCAAATTCCCTCTGATGAATACATGAAAGGTTTATATCATTCATTAAATTTACCCAAGGATTATTCTGCATAAATATGTATTCATATACAAGGTTATCTTAACCTTTCGTTATTTCATATAGGTTATCCAGGTATTTCGAGAGCTAAAGTACCAGAACTGTCCAAGTTTGGACGCCCGGTAAGCTGATATTGCATAATGGATTTCATTCTGTTAGATGTCTGATTTTAGCACCTAATCCTGGAATGTTTGAAATATATTCTGGATAAATAGACAATTATGAAGGGAGTAATTTTCTATGAACAAAAATTGGGAAATATGCCCAAATATTTTCCTTCTCCACAGAACTTTCTTATGCATATTGTAGATGTTAAAAAATCATGAAATTAATTTAACGCATGTAAATGTAAATTCATATTCAGAAATTTGATGAATCCAAAACACTTGGACACCTAGTTGATGAACATATCCTAGTCTATGTAAAAACAATTAAGTGAAACGATTCCTTTCTTGTACGTTGTAGTCAGAACTTGTTTTTGTGGTTTAAACAAAATTTATCAAGATTAATAAGATTATTATAGTGGAATAATTTTATTGAAGGGGAAGTAACGTTAAAATTCTTAAGATGTCAATCAACCATCGTCAGGATGTGAATCTTGTAAGTGTTTCTATAACTGCATAACAATTTAATAATTTGAGCGAAAAATGACCATATGACTGCTTCGTATGTTCAGGCAAAAATGAGGAGCTCGTCTTGGTGGGGAAAGTTTTTCGCCCAGACAGGCTTAGATAAGAATGAAGCTGCAAGGAAAAAGCTCGAGCAATCTACAACCAAGAGTTTATACACTCGAGGTGCCAAATTTTTCACCTCAAATCATACGACTAATGTTGTATGGGAACATATAATCTCTGAGCTACATAATGATTTTGTTTTTTCTTAGGCAGAAGAGATATTCAGGTTCAGTACATTTTTTTGTCAGTATTAAGTACCAATGTAAGGGAAATAACTCTAATCCTTTTGCATTTGCACACAATGATCAATACAAAATTTCCCATGCATGCTTTGTGGCGTCCACGACAATTGATTGCTTTATTGTAATCTGAATGCTCAAAACCAAGCTAGAAATGTATTTAAATTATTTGTTTCCCACAATGATTGCAATGATGGAAGGCCATGAACATACCGAGAAGTTATTTATCTTTTTAAAGCTAAGGTAGACACTACACAGCAATAACCTTAAAACATTTACATATCAGGTGACTAATATATCGAAATCTATGTACTAGCAGGGCAAGTAGAGATGATCTATTGCAACCGCACGTCACTCGTAGTTTTGTCAGCATTCTTGGCATGATATGGCTTTCCTTAAGACCTTAGAGTTAGGAACATAAGTATCACCAAATTCTCAGCAAGAGCGCTGCCCAATTTTGAAGTGAAATCTTTGGAAACCTCTTAACTCTAATGACAATTATAGGGTCATTGTCTTTAGTCGATAGTGGCCCCAATGCAACTGCCAGCTTCTCATTATGATGCAGCAGCAGCAATATTATCTCCTTTTCTTCTTCCATTAATCTATACGAGTGTGTTTTTACTCACGAGTTTTATACAATTTTAACTTAATTGTTGGTTAAATATTATGAGTATATAACGTTTTTGATGTGTTTGCTAGTGTTGTTTTAAAGGTACGAGGAGGTGGAGTAAAAATTGTGTTGAAGTGAACAAACAAGTCAAAATGTCCGCGGAAAGAATCAACAAAATGGCGCCTAGGCTCCATGTTCGAAGCGTTCAAGTGCTAGGAAGGAAATTTTTTTACGGTAAGTTAGCGCCCAGGCGCTGTAACCCAAGCGCCTAGGTGCTATGAGGAACCAAAAGAACAGAGATGCAGCGCGTAGACGCTACCCAGTATTATAACGCGATGCCTAGGCTTTGCACCACCTGTTTTAGGGTTACAATGTTTTAACCCATTTTAAAGCCCATAAAACCCTATATTCGATACAAACGTGGAGAGGAGAAAAAATAGAAGAAAAGGAGGAAATTTTAGGGGTTTGAGAATACAACTAGAGCTTGAAGAGAGTAATTCAAGGAGAAAAATATCAAGAAATTCAAGTTTTGAAGCATTGATTGGAGGAGGAAGAATATCTTGGTGCAAGATTGATTTATTTTTCTACATCTTTATTCAAAACCCAATGATGTACTCAATAAAAACTTCTTGTTTTTCTTCTTCCATCATTATGAATAGCTAAACTTTATATTAAGACAAACAATGTAATCTACTTGAGTTGAAGATTTAGACCACATAGTAAAATTTGGTATATTAGTATAATGTATAGAGATACATATACTAATGTAGAGATACATATACTAAATATTACGATCATCACATGAATTCTTAGAAATAATATTTCGTTAAACTAAAGTAGATTTGCATAGAGATATGTGATTGGATTAGTTAAATAGGTTTACTGAGAACTTTAGAGTAAATTGAATATCATAGAAGAATTCGATCGAACACTACATTAGACTCTTGCATCTTGAATTAAGACTTAAATGTGATCAATAGGTGAAATTGTTCGTCCTTATTTTCCATCCATTATTTGAATTCTTAATCAATATTTGTGTGCATTTTAATTAATTTCAACTCTTTAAATAAATAATTCACAACAACACATAATTATTTGTTTGCTTTCATCAAATAGAGTTAGAAAAATCTAATTAAGTTATAAAGTATAGACCTCGTGAGAACGATAATCCGGACTCAAATGTCCACTGTATTACTTATTACGTTATCGTATATTTGCTAACTGAAGCCCTCCTCCTCCCAAAACTCGTAATTTTTTTGTCATTGGGTAAGAAATATCTTCCACTACAAAAACAATTGTCAACTTCCATAAAACTGCAACCCGGTCTCCTCTTCGCTGTCGTTTATCCCTCAATAGTTATTTTAACTGTTGCCACTTCTTCCCATTTCGTGCAGTAGCTTACATATGAGCCTGCATAACATAGGGCACATTATTTGAAGGGTTGATCTGAAGACACTGGTTGGTTTTCTTTTCTGCTAGGTCTATGTTACCATGCATTCTAGAGGCTCTCTAAGGAATGGGCCTGACTGCTTCCCTGAATTTCCCTGTTCGACAACAAAAGATCCATCCATTTGGGCTCTCCATTAAATTCCACATCAATGCCCAACATCTTTTGGGCCTTCAAATTGTTATATAGCCTATTTTATCAAACCAAACCAATGACCCAAAAGTACTTGAAAATATTCAACAAGCATTGTACTTGTCGTGTTGACTTTTCAATTAAAGTCCACTATTTAGATTATATCGACAAGTTGGCAAGATTACACTCTCATAAGAACAATATGGCCACCAAGAAGTGCCTGGTTTGGTGATTTCACCATTTGAGGAGGCACATGAACATGGTGGGTGGGGGGAAGGGATCATTGCAATGGCTTTTCAGATTACAATTTGAAATGATGTAATTAAGCAAAACTTAGGTGTCAATTGGCAGTTAGCTACTACATGTAGCCCAATTTATGTTTAAACACAGCCAACATTCTCAACACAAACTGCAGCATGCCTCCCCTCTCTTGGGGAACAGATTTTCCATCTTTGTCATATATTAGTCATGTACTAATCGAAATAATCTTGATATTAAAGAAAACTATAGTTGTGCTAGCGTATTCATCCCCTTGCATAGACATAATTCTTTGATGGGAATCTTGAATTTTTTTTTTAACAATTTGGCAAAAAGGGTGTCACTGCAAACAGTTAAGGAAAAAAGTACCCAATTCTTGAAATGGTTCCAGAAATGCAGATATTGAGCAATTATTAGTGTTCCTTTTCTTTGATGCATATGATTTATTATCCAAAATTAGAAATCGTGTTATTCTTGAATATTGTTAGCAAGATGACCACAATTATTTGAACAATTGGCCAATTTGTTTTACAAGTACGATCCATCTCAGAGGTAATGTTGCTACAAACAAAGCATCATGTTCTGAAGGAGCGACAAAAACTGAGATAAAGAAAGAAAAATTAAGTAGAGGTTTCATGGGACCAGTCTAGAGACATTGATCATATGGCACTTCTTTCTTTCTCTTTGAAATCAACTATGTATTGCTTCGTTACAAATTAAAATTTATACTTCGAACAACAAAATTTTTAATTTATAACAGATCGAGATGTATTTTTTATTTTGTATACGTTACCGTCGAGTACTACATGTCACCAAAGTAAGAAACTAAACAATAGTCATCCCAGATTTAGTAATCTCACGGAGGGTCGGCTATACACGATCATGTTTTCTTATATAATTAGCCCTTGAAAGCATTGAAATTCCAAGCTGTTGAATGAATGTGACAAATAAATCACTGTCCATAGCATTAAAGTGTATTCCAACAAAATAATCGCTTTCAATCTCAGCTGGAATAGTCCCATCTAAATTAATATGCAATAAGGCTAAGGTGAGTTGTTGGCTCGAATAGCTTGAAAACAAATAATTAGTAGAAATGCAGTCCCAATACCCACATAGATCCTTTGACATAAGACTTGGTACATAGCAACATGCTTGATTGTTACTTTTGACGACCCACAAATGCAAACATAATAAATAATTCACAGGGTTGAAAGAAACATGCAGGAAGAGGACTAGCCTGCAGCTGCATGGGACCTTAAACCATGAAATTTTTTAAGATATTTTGCAATGACAAATTATCTTTTGCTTAGTGAAAGATTTATCCATTCATAAGAATGTCAATTTTTTACATTAGTCCATTCAACGTATTTGAAAATGTTAAACCAACTTACTAACAAATTTAACTTCTTGTAGACTGGATACATTTATTTATTTAAATTTGACCTTTAACGCGTTTCTTTATGTACACAGGCTAATTGCTTCAATTTAACCATATATTTAATGGGATCTGCAACTTTTATCGACTTTTTAATTACAAATTTAATCAACTTTTATCTAAATGTGTTAAAGCTTTTATAAGAACTTTGTCACACAGACCCTAAATCTTTTTTCATCAAAGGTTAATTACGCGGACAATTTTCATAGACGAGTATCCGCAAAATGTGTACACTAAGATTACGTTGAAGTAGCTCATTTGAAAATTTAAAGTGTTATAAAGAAGGAATCTTTATTGGTTTGTAGAAGTGAGAAAGAGTACTCATAGTGTATATATAGGGATTTGGAGGAAATAAATTAAAGCATATAAATAGTAGTAATCTTTTGTATAAATAAATAAATTTATCATAGTATGTATGTATTATTTCCATCTTTTTAGTTTGTTCTCTCCTTTTGTTTTAAGATGAAAAATTTAGATTTATTTTTATGTTTATGACATTCACAAATCCTACCTAAAGAGTGTTTTTCCCCTGATTAATTTATCTTTGCTATAATTCTAACATAAAGTAAAAAAGTTGATGTGATTTGTCCATAAATACCCTGGCAAAAACATGCTAGACTCCCCTAAAAACTTGAAATTTGAAAGTGATATCTCTCTAGATAAATTTCATACTTATCATCAAATATATACGGTACTCTATAAGATCTAATCTCTTATTGCTCTTCAGGAATTTAGTGACGGAGCACTCAATCGACCAACAAATGTTGAAGCCTTACGAGAAAAACTAGTTCACAACTAACAAGAAACAAAATGAATATCACAGTGTCTCGCATACTATGTTTATTTATGTGGTGCATCACCGAAATAATGTTATTTGATACCACTAGTATTACAATACCAGTTTAGGTGATATTAAATATCATTAAATTAGAAGAACAATTAAATGAGTCATATAAATTTTCCTTTATTGAACTCATTACATAGTGATACTTAGACTGATGTTCTAATACTACTAATGTTAAATACAATTATTCTCGATCTACTATTATATGCATCCTTACATTTTCGCTTTCACATTGGCAACGTTATTGGTCAACTAAATTTATTGCAAGTATTTTATGGAGTCAACGACAGTTTAAAGAATTTAAATGAATTTGTTGCAATTGGTGACTCGATTTTGCATTTACTGAAAATATAATTAAGTTGGTATGCGTAACTTTCGTTGACCTTCCCAAAATTGGCCTCACAAATATGCAATGGTAGTATATTTATTTTCAATAAGAGAGTATTTGTAGAGAGAGAAATTTGAGATTTTTAATTAAGGAATTTATTCAGAATAAAAGACTTCGTTAAAAATATTTAACTTGTCTATTGAATAAGTCACTATGCAAGGAATATCAGCAAGCTCAATACACGATTTCTAATACGCCTAAAATTCTTTACAGTTGTGCAACATCTACATAATAGTTTACATAATGATTTACATACACATGATATGGTCATGGTCAGAGATAGGATTAAAGAG